TCGGCTGGGATAGGCTCCAGCCCCCCCGCGACCCTAATGAGGATTAAGCGGTGTATAGAAAATGGATGGATGGATGGTTGACGTTCATGTTTAAATAATACATCACGCTGCTTCTAGTATCCAGAAACACACACTTCTTTCCTTAATCACACACACACACAAGGCGGCGCATTCAAGTTAAACACAATTAGGCTAATTGGACCCTGACAGATGAAGTGGTTCCTCTTGTGCCATGCTCTCCTGGGAAACCTTGAGGCTGTTACGTTGACATGTACCATCCACCTAAACATCGTTACCGACTAAGAACCCCTCCAAAACGCTTCTCCAGCTGCAGGACAAAAAAACTGCTCAGGACACGACTAGACACGAGATCTGCCCAACAGGATCTGATCCACAGGAGGCACCAGAACAAGCCCAATCGACAACCCACAGGACCCAAAGGACCCAAAGGACCCAACGTCCCAATGTCAGACACCACAGGACGCCACAACAGGTCCGGCGTTGATGCTTCGACAGTTCAGTTCTGCTCTGTTTTGGTGTTTTTCTTCCTTGTTGACGTGTCCATGTGGGGATTTGTGTGTGTTGTAGTCATGTAGCCATGGCCCAGACTGTTTCTGACAGTCTTAAAAATGTGGATTCAGACTTCTCAAGGTACCACTCCTGTCATTGTGCAGGGAGGGACTTTCTGCATTGTTATTTTGCTTCAGATCAGTTTCTGGTGCAAACGTGTGGTAGAATTAGCGTAGAGTAGTTTTACAGGGTTTGAGCTGAGCTGGTGTGCTCGAGGTGCAGCAAGTGGGGGGTATGTTGAGGTAGGGGTTTGTAGATCTGCACATTCTCAAGAAGGCAACGGTGTAGATGTACATCTGAGACCTTTTAGGGTGTCAAATAATTATTTCAACAGAGGAAGAAAAAAAAAACAACAAAAAAACTTTTTTAACCTCTTAAGACCTGGTGTCCACATCACATTTCGGGTTATATTACTTTATTTATATTATATTTATATTATATTACTGTTATTTTTGATATTTATATATTTTTTGTTTTAAAAATTAATATATATTTTTAAAATATATTTTTATTTTCTGTATATATTTTTATTTATGAAATATCATTATTTTATTTTAAATGTTTTATATTTTGTTTAAAAAGGAATTTCTATTTTTTTAAATATATTTTTATTTTCTTTATATATATATTTTTATTTATTTATTTATTTATTTTTTAATAAAAAAATGCATATTAAACAAGAGCTCGATTCTTATGAGGGTTCAAACTAATCAGAAACCAATTTTAATGTTGTGAGTGATCAGGGTGTTATCTCAGACTGCATCGTGGGTTGTTGTTGGGTTTGTTTTTTTTTTGCCTTTTCTGTCACGGAGCTTCTGTTGATGATGATGGTGTTCTTGCAGAAACATGAAATCCTGAATTTTCTGTTCTGTTTCTGGATTTTAAGATGGATCTGGTGGATCACTGAAGACCTCTGTTGTCTGAGAAGTTGCACGGCTTCATGATGGCGGCTCAGACTTTCACCAAGAGATGAAAAAAATACAGCAAAGGAAAGAATCAGTATAAAACATGTATTCGTGTTTTCAGTGAATAAAACTCTCTTATTCAGCAGTTCTGAATCTTTGTCAGTCTTTTCTGGCATCGTCTTCATCTCCGTTTCCACATTTTCGCTCAAATCCTTTCGCATCTGTATATCCTTCTCTGTAAGTGTCTGTGGGGATCATCATGGTCTTCCCACCGGGCCCTTTAGAAGGAAATGATCTGCGTAGGAAGGAAATCATTTCAGGGCAGTGTACAGCGAACAACAGGCCTTCTAGCTGTACGACTGTGTGTGCATTTACTTGGCTTTCTTCACCAGCAGGTCGACGTAGTTCTCCTTCTCCTCCAGAGTCTTCTTCAGTCTACCAGCTTCTCTCTGTTTTTCCACCAGCTCTCTCTGAAGACGGTGGTTGATTTCCTCCAGAGTCTTGCAAAACGCCTGCGCTCCAAACAACAGCCGGTGGGCATTTGAATCAGACAACTGTTTCGGCATTCAAAAGTGCTTTTGTGATGAAAGAGACCTCACCCTGCTTTCCTCGAGACTGTCAAATGGACTCCGAGGATCGACCAAACACAGAAAGCGCCTCACGGCTTCACTGGGGAACAAAGAGATCCATTTAAAAAGCCAAACTCGCACATGAATTACGTCAGTGTTGGGAAAGTCTTGGAAGAAGTTACGAAACACACCTTCTGATGACGTCTTTGTGCAGCGTTAGGTTTTGTAGAAAGGTCTGCAGACCGACCTGCCGCTCCTCAAGAAACGCCTCGTTGTAGTTGTCTTTGAACCGGCGCTTGGGAGGCAGAACCAGGCGACAGCTGGGAAACAGCTCTTTAAGCTGCACCAAAGCAACAAACAAAAAAAAAAAAAGGGAAAGCAGGATCGCTATGGCAACACATAAGCCAGAGTCAAAAGTGCTGTTGGGTCATGAGGCCATGCTGAAGGAGAAAACCCACAGCATTCACGGTAAGGTGTAAGAGAATTCGCTTTGGTTGCTAAAAATGGACCTAATTAAATCAGATTTGTCGAGTCTGGTGCGATCCAGCTGAACGCCTAAAGCTGTCCTTTGAACTTTACATCGGAAAATCTACCGAGATGAATCACAAGAAGAAATGTTGGTGCAGTCACACAGAAAAACTGCTCACTTATGCTCTCTGGTTGCATAAAACATCACTGGCATTAACTGATTTCACGTCTATGATTTACCCTCTATCATCGAGCCCCTCTGGGATTTCCACAACATTCACAATCCTATGTAAAAAAAAACAGAAAGCTTTGTTGTCGAGGTGCATGTTGGGTTTTCACCTGGCCGCTGAGCCTGCAGAAGTCCGTGTATCTCCTGAAGATCACCCTGCTGTCTCCTGGACTCTCCATCACCAGGATCTTGTAAACCTGCAAAACACATCACAGGAGCGAGGCCTCAACCCTCTTCCCACCGCTGGACGCCGACATGCAGACATCACCCAGCGAGCGCAGCGGCAGGTTAAACGTGTGCACATATGCAACCCTTCCTTTTCATCCATCTGTTCTCAAGGCTCTACAAATAACTGTAAACATGCATCTACTGTGATATGTGGAAAATTTTAAAAAAGTGTTTACGAGACACTTAAGGACTTCTGAACGTTCTGAAATCTCAACATATTTCATATTTCTGTCAACACACTCGATTCACTGTGTACATCTTCCACCATAACGTTTAAATCGTTTCGGTCACTGTTATGTATGTTTTTATTGTACTCTGGGCATAATTCAAAAGCAGAAAAACATCTGATTCTGTTCTTAGAAAGAAAAAATGACTCTCTGGTTGTATTCCACAAAAAAAAGCCAATAAACGAATGCAATGTTATTAAATGCATGTTTAGAATTTACATTTAATTTCCAGCAAGCAGCTTCACAACTAGCCACTCAAGGTGCATGAAACCACGTGCACTCTCACCCTGACAGGCCCTAAAGTCACATTAGGTGAAAAAACAGTAACATCTGCTTATAATGCCGGTGATGCTGAACTCCACAACTGCAGATCAACATTTTCCTTAAAATGTGGAATTTTACGTGCAGCCGCTGTTGCAAAACATACTGGCACGTTCACACGTGACCGGTTTTGCTCATTCAACAATACAATAATATAATAATACACACACACACACACACACACACACACACACACACACACAATCTCACTTTCCTCTTCATTTATGTATGTACTCTTACAATCTTAAAACCCTAAAATATTCTTGAAATTAAAATTGAAAATGCGATGCAGGTGGTAACACAATTCTGAAAACCCATCAATACAAACTCTTCCGTTTTCTTTCATTCATGAACATCTAGTTGCAGAAAACCAGCAGATCTGGTCTTTCAATCCCTACCGTGAACTTTGTTCTCTTCTTCAGGATCTCGTAGCCCAGCAGTGTCGGGGTGTTGGATCCATCCACCCAGCTCTCCCCACACCTCCCCTCAACCTCCAGCGGCGTGGATGACCCGTCCAACATGTCTCCTCTCCAGGTGTCGTCCAGGGTGGGGCGTCCAGCTGTGGCCCCCCGGGGTCCGTGTCCTCTCACCGAGGGACTGCCTTCTGAAGCTGGGGGCTCACGGTTTGAGGATGAAGTGTTAGGATGTATACAAGACCCTCTCTTAGAGCAGGACCTGCTCACTCTGGACCAGTCCACCGGGATGGGGACTGGAACAAAGGGGACAGCCATCTGAGCTGGTCTTCCTGAGCTACTGTCAGTGAGCACATAAACCTAATCCATAAAAGCACACAAGGACACACACAAGGAGTGTCTACTCACACCAGATCAGTGCAAACCGAGTGGCAGCTCGGAAAACAAGCAGCGCCTCTAATCCAAGTTGGGTTTCTTGCCTGAGCTGTGCAGCGGTCGTCCAGCCGACAGTACTGCTGGTTCATCAAACACAGAACAAGGCTCGCTGTGTGTGATCCACATAAGCGGTAGTTTTAACGTGCTACCTGATTTGTTGGCACGCTCTGCTTTACAGGGGTTTGAGATTGCAGAAGGACAACGCAGTCATGTGCTCGACAGCATGTCTCGTCTACCAGGACAGGAAGAGCGCCTTCTGCCTCCATAAAGCACCGACAATAAACCTGCAAAACATCAGACTGTGCGAAAATGTCAACCTTCTGCAAGCTGTAATTATATTGTAATAGGAGATGTATTGACTCAGGTTTTGTACCAATAAAAACATAAAAATACAAAAAAAATACCAAGCTATAAATATATGAAATATAAACATACAGTGTAAACAGTGTTACATTAGATATTCATAAATGATCATATTTATATTGCTATTATTACCTCATGAAGTGTGTATTTTATTCTGTTCATCTGTTGAGCAACTGATTTTATTTTAGTCTTATTGGAGCAGACGTTTGCACCTGATGAACTTGTGTTTGTGGTCTAGATTGTCAGTATTTTGTCTGTAT